ATATATTTTATTTTATTTAACCCAGTGTATCCAGATATTATCATTTTAACATGTAATCCATACAAAATTTATTAATGGGGGAAAAGATGGCGACCGGCAAGAAGGTAGGGAGGGAGAGAGTGTGAGCGAGCGAGGGAGCCATAGAGGAGTGTGTGGACGTGTGTGCGTGTGTGAGCGTGTGTGAGCTAGGGACAGTTAGATCCTGCGGGTCTTCCAAGGGGCTGCTAAATGGGGCAGTCTTAGACAGCAAAACCCCGCTGCCACCAGGGACACTCTGGGGGCAGCCAGTGCAGGCACAGAGACCACGCCATCTTGAAAAACAGAACTGCTTGAGACTAGGATCCTAGCCTCACCCCCACCCAATCTGGTCTCAGATGCAAACCGGGACTGACAGCCACTAGGGACAAAGACCTGCGACCACAGCTGCAGACCCACAGACACCAAGAATCTGGACACCATGGCCGCAGGTTTCTGTGAGTCACAGAGCCCATCCCCCTCCCCACAGGCTCGCTGCAGCACCATAGAAACTGCTAGACCCGCCCCACACAAGCAAGCCTCCTGCCCACACAGGCTTCACTACCTGAATTTGAGCTGGGCACGCAGACACTGGGAGGCTGTTTCCCCGCAGTGCTCAATGGCGAGACCAGACCCCACGCCCACACAGGGCATCTCCGCTACCTGAATTCGAGCCTGGGTGCGGACACTGGGAACCTGCGGGAATGTAAAACTGGTGTAACTACTTTAAAAAGAACCTTGGCAGTTTCTTTAAAAGTTAGACATAGGTTGGTACGGCCTGAGTTGGACTTACCTGCCTGGCCCCCAATATTCCCAAATTATCTCATGTCTTTTCTCTTTCATTTGTGTGCGGCTCTTCTTCCAGATCCCCGGTCCTGTGGGGAGGGGGATGGGCTCTGTGACTCACAGAAAGTTAGACATAACTTTTAAAGAAACTGCTAAGTTTGGTTTGGCTCAATGGGTAGAGCTTCGGCCTGCGGACTGAAGGGTCCCAGGTTTGATTCCAGTCAAGGGCATGTACCTTGGTTGCTGGCACATACCCAGTAGGGGGTGTGCAGGAGGCAGCTGCTTGATGTTTTTCTCTCATCAATATTTTTAACTCTCTATCCCTCTCCCTTCCTCTCTGTAAAAATCAATAAAATATTTTTTAAAAAGTTAGACATAAATTTACCATATGACCTAGTAATTGCACTCCAAGGTATCTACCCAAAACAAATGAAAATATGTATCAGTACAATGAAATGTGCACAAATGTTCACAGCAGCATTATTAACATCTCCAAACTGGAAATATCTAAATGTTCATCAGCTGTAAATGGATAAGCAAAATGTGGTATAAACATTTAATAGAAGCCTATTCTGCAATTAAAAGGAATAAAATATTGATACATACTTCTACATGAATAACCCTGTAAAACATTCACCAAATAGAAGCCAGATACAAAAGGCCACATATTTTCTAATTCAATTTATATAAAATATGTAGAAAACACAAATGTATAAAGACAGAAAGTGATCAGGGGTTTCCTAGGCTAAAGTGAAAGTGGTAATTAACTGTAAATGGGCAAAAAGATATTTTTGAGGTGATAAAAATACTGTAAAACTGGATTTTGTTAACAAATACATAACAATAGAAATTTGCTAAGATAATTGAACTTACTACATCAATGGGTGAATTTTATGTGTGTAAACTATCTATATATATAAAAGGCTGATATGCAAAGTGTCCCCTCAGGAGTTCAACCAGGAGACCTGGAGTTCGATCGCTCACTATGACATGCATTGACCACCAGGGGGCAGTGAAGAATGAAGGAAGGCCCCGGCTGGCAGCCGGAAGGCCCCAATCAGCCCTGATCGCCGGCCATGCCCAGGGACTCTACCCATGTACGAATTTTGTGCACCAGGCTTCTAGTATCTCAATAACTATATTAAAAACGTAAATTTTAAAGACTTTTTCCTGGAATTACTCAATATGAGTTCAAAACTTTTGTTTGAACAGGATCTGCTATACAGCAACATTCTTATGCTCATCACTCCACAGTGCAATCATTTGTATCTCTCTGGTTTCTTCCTCAGTTTGTAGAGTAGACAATAAACACACATTGAATTAAACTAAATGAAAACAAAATTAATTGAAGTCACATCAAATAAGTCTTTCCTCTACAAAAAAAATTGTTTTTTGAGTAATTGTACAGTCCTTACTATGTCCCAAATAATTAGTTTCAATTTTTTCTCCAAAGTCCCTAATTAATTTCATGATATTATATAATACAACACATTATTATCCCCTGTGTTAATTTTTGTTCACGCAAAAGCAGATGCTGAGCCCAGGGTTTACGTTTAAACACTTTATTGGAAGGGGCCAGGGACATGGATGGGAGAGAGGGGAACTGATACACAAAAGAAAATATATCAAATGAACCTTGCATTATGGCACCTACCATTGTAAATAAACAGAGATTTTATCTCCAGGGGAAATTCTGGTAAATGGTAAAAAACATAAACCTCAGCATTATTCCAGATAAAGGAGGAAAGACATGCTATCCTCTACACCTCTCCATCAAGAGCTGTATCTGATAGGACATAATTCCCTGTCTGCTACTACATATTGGGTAACGTTTGTTCCAGCTGGTACTGGATGTTGGCAGTTATGCAATGAAAATTGTGAGAGGATGTCAGGGAACATGGGAGGAATCTTAACAGCATGTACTCCTCCATGCTTCCTTGCAGAATCAATTCTGTCAACATTCTTCCCCACCAAAAGAATTAGGTTCTAAACATGTTCCACAAATGTGTAACTATTCTTCCTGAGGCATCCCTACAGAGTGCCAGAAAATAACTAAATCACTTGAGAAAATAACTCTTATTTTATTGTACTCATTATTACATGGCTTTGGATCTTAGAAGGTGCATATCAACATTGCAATAATGGGAAATATAAGTCAAATAAAAAAAGGAAAGGAAGGAAGGATCGCACAAAATATGACACTTCTCAGTTTTTGAGGCAATAAATTTCTCTATGTTATCTGAAGAAACCATCTTTCAAATCTAGATTCCTTGTCTGAACTTGAAAATCACATCACTGGCCCTAGCCAATTTGGCTCAGTGGATAGAGCATCAGCCTGCGGACTGAAGGGTCCCGGGTTCGATTCTGGCCAAGGGCACATGCCTGGGTTGCGGGCTCGATCCCCAGTCGGGGGCGTGCAGGAGGCAGCCAATCAATGATTCTCTTTCATCATTGATGTTTCTATCTTTCTCTCCCTCTTCCTTCCTCTCTGAAATCAATAAAGGAATATATATATTTAAAAAAAAAAAAGAAAATCACATCACTGTTCCTGTGAAAGGTAGGATAGTGAAGTCAGCTTTCCAAGGTGTAGTCCAACTTCAATTCCGTCACTTCTTTTGAAAAGTAAAGTGAATGAGAGAAAATATCTCAAAAATGTTTTTAAGATGAAATTAAATCATTCATGTGAAGAAACAAGAAGAGTCCTGATAGCATTATCATGCTGTCCTGATTACTGTATGATTTTCATATAATTTCATCTGAAAAAGAAAAAAGGATACAACCCAATTAAGGTGAAGATCAGCAACATATAAGGACAACTTTTTGGGCAACTAAGTCAGCAATTGATATGATAAGTGTTTTAAGTTTAAAGTGAGAAATCTTAAGAAGAGCTGCAGGAATGCTGACCAAACATGGAACACTGTTTACTGCATATAAGGAAGAAAAGTAAAAAAGGAACTTCTGAGAAAAACTAATACAAAAGCAAAATCACACATGCCTTGGAAATAGAAGAAATCAAGACTGTCTTTCAGGAGTGAAAAAGAACGATATTTAAATTTGCAACATTTACCTTTGGGCCCCCACTGTGTACCTTTATGTCTGAGGCCAGAGATCCATCACAGACAAGATGTTACTAGGTTGAAGAGCCTTCTCAGAGCCCCCTTCATATCCTTGTTCCTCAGGCTGTAGATGAAGGGGTTCAGCATGGGGGTGACCACAGTGTACATGACTGAGGCAATTGAGTTCTGTAGGGACGAATGGGTCAGAGCAGAACTGAGGTGGACCCCCAGGCCTGTCACATAGAACAAGGAGACCACAGAGAGGTGAGACCCACAGGTGGAAAATGCTTTATATTTCCCTCCTGCAGAGGATATTCTCATTACAGAGGCGACAATCCTAGAGTAAGAAAACAGAATTCCTGTGAGAGGAATCACACCCAGGAGGGCAGTAGCCACATTCAAGACGATGTTATTGATGTGAGTGTCAGAGCAGGCCACCTTGAGGATCTGAGTCAGTTCACAGAAAAAATGTGGGATTTCAGTGCCTACACAGAAGGTCAGCCGCCTCATCAGTAGAATGTGAAGCAGGGAGACCCAGAAAATGATGAGCCAAGATATCAGAACCAGAATGCCACAGAAGCGTGGGTTCATGATGACCATGTAGTACAGGGGTTGGCAGATGGCCACATACCGGTCATAGGCCATCACAGTCAGGAGGAAGCTGTCCATTCCAGCAAATATCATAACAAAATACACCTGAATGAGGCACCCAATGTAGGAGATGTCTTTGCTCTGTGCCTGGACATTCACCAGCATCTTTGGGACCGTGGTGGAGGTGAAACAGATTTCAATAAAGGACAGGTTGGAGAGGAAGAAGTACATGGCTGTGTGCAGGTGGGAGTCATAGATGATGGCCACAATGATGAGCAAGTTTCCAAGCACAGTGAACAGGTACATGCACAGGAACACTCCACAGAGGAGGGGCTGCAGTTTAGGGTCATCTGAGAGACCCAGGAGGAGGAATTGTGATGCTTCTGTGTGGTTTTCAGCTTCCATGCAGCTGGTGTGTATTCTAAAGGAGGAAAAGGCAACATTCAGTAAACAGCCAAATGGCATCTCAGCTAAGTCATCACTTTTTGATTTCACCATGGTGTGGGCATCGTTCATGATCTGGTAGTCATTTCAATGCTAGTCATTCACTCATTTACGTGGTTACCCAATTTTATTTTAAATGATGTAATTGTGCAGACTTTCTTTACTTTAGCAGAAGTCTTTCTCTTTTTATCTTCAACTCGCTGGTTCTAATTCACTTATTGAAATCTATGGACATAAACCAATTTCTTCTTTCATACCAGCCTTCCAAAATAACTAAAGATATTTAAGGTGCTTATTTTGATCATCTCCATACTACTTTCATTTCATACTAGTGATGAAAACATGTGTTTTCAACTCAAACAACCTTAGTTTTGTCACCTGGTGCTTTATATTGATGTCACAGCTAACTCTCTTATGTGCCTTATTATGTTTCTAAAAATGTGGTTTCTGCTATTACCATTTTTATAGGTAATAAAATGCCTTTAATCACAGTAAGATCTTTTTAAGTTATAGCTATTATTATCATTATTAATCTATTCTTTCATTACAATTATTTTTTAGATATAACTGTTCCAAAGTACAGTATACAGCTGTGATTTAGAAATAGGATGTGAGTCAGACTTCCTGGAACAGAACTTGGTCTACCATGTTACATCTCTGTGACCTTGAAGAAGTTATTTAATCTCCCTCAGCTACAGATACTTCACCTCCACAATGAGAGCATTAAATATTCCTTACATTGTAGGACAGATGTGTGATTAAATGATATGATGCATAACATTTTTCTAGTGTAGTTCCTGTGATATACACTAGACATGTGATAAATGTGAATTACTGTTCTTAGCATCACAATAAAGCTGTCTTACATGGTAATCATTTTTAGTATTTCTCTTAAACTTGGGCAGTCATCATTGTAAACACGACAGGTCTATTTTTTTTTTTTATCACAACACAGCACTTCTAATTAATGAAGATCCTGATGGCTTCCTATTTCAGAGACTTCCTGCCAAGTGGATTCTTCCAAGAAGAGGAAGATGCACATTGACTACGTAGATAATAGGGGGAAACAGAAGCACACTACCATCATAATAAAATGGAAAGCATGTGTGAGGGCATGAGCTCATTTGTACATGCTCTCAAGTGGAGATGTGTTGCATTCAAATCAGTGGCATGAACTGAAAAAATTAACATATTTTATTAAGAAATATTCAAAGTGTTTATATATGAAATCATCCTAAAAATTGAAAGGCAACTTAAATATTTGAAAATAACAAGGCAACAAGCCAAATGGAATAAGATATTTGCAAATAATACTTCCAATAAGGTGCTAATCTATAATAATAAAAGAGTAATATGCTAGACTGGACGTCCTTCTGGACAACCTTCTGGACAAAGCCGGGGCTGTGAGGGAAGCCTGGGTCCCAAGTGCCTGTAGGCGGCCGGAGAGAAGCCGGTACCAGCAGCTGGGAGAAGGAAGGCCTACTCTTGCACGAAATTCATGCATTGGTCCTCTAGTCCTATATAACAAAAGGCTAATATGCAAATTGACCAAATGGCGGAATGACCGGTCACTACAAAGTGCACTGACTACCAGGAGGAAGACACTCAATGCAGGAGCTATCCCCGGTTGGTCACAGCCAGAAGCTGGGCTTACACCTGGCAAGCACAGTAGTGATGGTGGGAGCCTCTCCTGCCTCCACAGCAGTGCTAAGGACCCCTAAGCTGGCAGTCGGACATCCCCTGAGGGGTGCCAGACTGCGAGAGGGTCAGGCCATGCTGAGGGACCCCCCAGTGCATGAATGTTGTGCACCTGTCCTCTAGCATCCAATATATTTAAAGAACCCATACAACTCAAAATCAAGAAAACAAACAGTTCAATTAAAAAGTTGGTAAAGAACCCGAACAGACACATTCCCAAGAAGACATACAGATAGTCAACTGACCTATGAAAAAATGTTCAACTTCACTGTTTATAGGGGAAATGCAAATCAAAACCACAATGAGATACCAACTCATACCTGTTAGAATGGCTATTAGCAGTAAGACAAGAAATAAGTTTTTGAGAGGATGTAGAGGAGAAAAGGGAACCTTTGAGGGAATGAAAATTGATGTAGCCTCTATGGAAATAATATGAAGGTTCACTAAAAAATGAAGAATAGATTACCTTATCACCCAGAAATTCCTCTTCTGTATATCTACCTAAAAATTTTGAAAACACTTATTTGTAAAGATACATGCATGTACTTTATGCTTAATGCAGCATTATTCACAATAACCAAGACATAGGAACAACCTAGGTGTTATTCGACGGATGATTGGATAAAGAGGATGTGGTACATACACACTAAAAAGAAAAAAATACACTGCTCATCAAAAGATGAAATACTGCCATTTGTGACAACATGGATGGATCTTGAGAGTATCATGCTAAGTAAAACAAGTTAAAAGGAAAAGGACAAGAACCATATAATTTCATTTGTATGTCAAATAGAAAACAGAAATCAACAAATAAACAGGCAAAACAAACTCATAGAAGTAGACAATAGTATGGTGGTTACCAGAGGGTAAGTGGGTTTTGGGGGGAGGATATAAAGAGTAAAAAGGGTCAAATATATAGTGATGGAATAAGATATACAGGTGACATATTATAAATTTGTACACCTAAATCTTATACAATGTTATCCCAATAAATTTAATTTTAAAATGAAAGTAAATAAAGGTTTACATTCTGAATGATAAAAAGTTTCACTATTACTAATGTTTAGAGAATGCTAATTAATTAAGGAGAGAAAAAAATCACCGATGACCCATTTGATTTGGGGAGTTGGTAGAAAAGGCTTCTCTGTGGAGCAGGGCAACAAGGGACATCTGTAATATCCTTAATAGTAAAGATAAATCAATTTTTAAAAATAAAAAAAAAATAAAAGGCTTCTCTGAAATAAAAATACTTGAGCTGTGAGAGGAAAGATGGGTAATTGTGAATTAGGAGAAATTTTAAAAGGGCAAGCATTGGGGGCTAAGAGAACAGAATAACCAGTTGCACTTGTCTTGGTGAGCTTGGTAACAGAAGTGATTTGAGAGACCAGTGAGATAGCGAACAGCTAATTGGGGTCAGGATGGACAGAGTATGTGAAGCCCACAGTTTGAGCAACCAGTACTATTCTTTAAAGTGCCTCTCATGATGGTAATTTTATAATCATTTGTGGATTAGAAATTGTAATTGTTTTTGCTTACCATGGTCAGTCGTTCCAGGGATCTATCTGGTGCCTGGCATATAGTAGATGCTCAACGTATACAAATGTTAGGCATATAATAAAATTTGAGACCAAAGTGTCAACTATAACACACAAAAAGAAATCTTCAAAGCTCTTGCCTAATAAGGAAACCAATGGCAATTTCTTAACTCAATAAAGACTAGTTGTTTTAAAACTGCAGACAACACAATATTCTACATTACTCACTAAAACATTTGGGTTAAATTTATGAAGAGACCAATGAAGTCAACTCATTGATATTCAATCACTTGATATTCTGCTGAACATTTAAAGAGACAAGTAAGATGAGGAAAGAAAATTAGCCTGAATACTGAACATCAGACATAATTACATTATTTGTAGATACTATTGTGGACACTAAGGTGAAACAACAATAACATCAATATAGAACGATTACGTGGTATCAGTGAGTCAGATCTGCTGCAAAAAGGTTAGGAAATGCAATAGATACCCCAAATCACATTAGGAGCAAAATAGACAATACCTTATGCAGAGTAGATATTCAGTGAGTAGTTAATGAATAAATGATTGAAAACAAACAAATCAAGAGAAGTCTACAATTATGGAAAAGAGATGGAGATTCTATGGAAAGCAATTCTTTTTATAGAGACCTCTAGATTCCAAAAAGAGAGAGAAGGACAGAACAAAGGCTTGAAAAGACAGGTTTCAGGGGAAACTGAAGTACCTTCAAAGTACAGGGACTTCATTGTCATAAACTATATACTACAGGACTGTCCCCGTCTAATTATTCCAGAGGTAAAGCCCAGTACCCACTTTGTCTCTTTTCCCTTTCATTCCAACAGCCCTTACTGGATGGAATAAAATGACCTTCTCTGCAGGATATCCCTGAAGCTTCCTGTTCTGCAAGGTCTGTCCCTGGGAAGCCCAATTGAGCTTTTATTTGGCTGGGACCAGAGAATTAAGAAAAATGGCAAAAGGAACACGCTTAAAGTTTCTAGCATCTCCAGGGTTGAATTCTCAGAGCTCCTCATTAAATCAATCATTCTAGTGTCTTTTACTCTCCAAACTATTCAGACTCCATGGGGAGCAAAGATACCTGATTTTGTGTCTGTACAAGCATCAGAGGTGGGAGATGAATTTATTTCCTCCAAAGAGAAACAATTATTTCTTCTGTCTGACTTAAAAGTTAGAAGGTATCCCTAAGGAATGTTTAATTGCTCAGGAAACAAAGCCAGAAACCAACTTTCTGTTTTTCTGTTGAAGAACTTTTGGAGGTCTCATGGATCACTTTCTTTAGAAAAAAAGCAGAGTTGTTAAATAGTTTGGTTCTGTTGAAAGGACCAACCAAACAAGGGTTGAAATTGTTCTTGACATTAGCTGGTGACAGGGACCCTCTGTTGGCATTAATGAGGGCTCCACTTATTACCTCTAAATAGAGGGCTGGAGGCAGAAACAACACAGGTGGAGGGGGTTGAAGAATGAGTATTGGGGAAATATAGGTGACAAATATAATCCACCTATCATAATTGTGGGAAAGGGGAGGAGAGAGTATAAAGCATAGTGTAAAGACAGTATGGAACATGAGAAGGTTTAAGAAAAATTTTAATGGAACATATAGGAACAGGAATAGTTTTAAAGAGAATGACCAAATTTAGTGCAGACATTTGAAGACACAGGAAGTGCTGACTACATAGTCCACAGGATGCAGTATATTCTCTAAATCGC